TAAACCCCTTTCCACAACATTTATACCTAGGCATGTTGGCCAAAGAGTACATGGGGGTGACTACAAAGCAGAAGGGCAGTGTGTGGTAAGGAAGAGGGTTGAGCAGAGCAAAAAAAAAAAAAATGAATGACATACAGAATAGAGGGCAGCCAGAAGAGCTGGGGGTAAAGGACAGGATTGCCAGGCAACCAGTCCATATGGATTGTCCCCAGAGGACACCAAGGCCTTCAGCTCCAGTGGGGAAAGGTTGGCGCCTCCTATCTACTATTGGTCCTCACCCAACTGAGAGTTCATTCGGCTCTCCAGATAGGAGCAATCCTAGCCATTTGGGCCTGTAGAATAGGCCAACAATTGGCAGATCTTGCAAAAATCAACAAAAACACCTGCTGAAATCATGGGTGCCTTAGAATAACTGTTTCCTTGCCCCTCTGCCTGGGTAATGGCAGCCTGAAATTTTCCATAAGAATCCATTGAGGATGTTGGACAGAAATTTTTAGAAATCAGTGGTCTTCAAAGATTTTTTAAGTTTTATTTTATTTTTAACTGATATGTAATAATTGTGCACACTTATTGGATACAGTGATGTTTTGATACATGCATACATTATGATCACTCACCTCTATTAATAAAAACCTTACATGCATTCCCAACATATATGCATTTAAATTGTATTCAACTGTGTCTATTAGTACAGTATAAAACATACCCCAAAATAAGCATTGTCAAAGGATGAGTTCAAAATTAAAGAGAAATGGAAGGTCTGACGTTTTCTTCCCCTGCTCAGCCAGTCATCAGGCACAATCCACTTTGGAGGCCACGGCCCCAAGTAGCCCCCTCATCTGTTATCCTGTTATTCCTTAAATGTGGCTGGAGGTGCCAGCCCCGTTCAACCATTCATCTTAGATGTGCCAACTTCCTACATAGCAGGAGTGTCTTTGTTACCTAGATGAATGTGTCTGAGGTGGGAAGAGGAGATGAGAAGATTAACCCTCACCTTCAAATTCAAAGTGCCCAGCCCATGCCTTCTACAACAATTCAGGGCACATGAGTGATGGCTGTGCCCTGGTACTGTGTTGGGCACCATGGGAGGCATGGTATCTGCTTTCCAGAGAACTTGATCTTCTGCTCAGGAGTGTATGCACGCAATTCAGACCCAAGGCAGCTCTGTGGGAAGAGGAACAATGGGCCATGGAAATAAGGCAGGAGAAATGGACAAGGGTGGTGCTTGAGCTGAGCTCTGAGGGTTAGGCAGAACATTGCCACACGGGAGATGGGAAAATTAATCTCCCAGCACAGGGGCTAGGTGTCTTCACATTTAAGGTGATTTAAGCCCTAAGAGACTGCCCTAATAAGTGTCCTGTCCCAAAGTTACCTTGAAACCATAGGAAAAGCATACATTCCCTTGGAATCAGGCAGAACTAGACTCTGTGTTGGTGCTTCCACTGACTGGCTGTAGACCCAGGGCAAGACTCCACCTCCCACAAATCATGGTTACCTTTTCTGAGGGCTGTTGTTAATTGCAAATGATATATTGGGTGCACAGTAAATATGGGTTTCCCATCCAGAATGGTGCTTAAGGGATGCTGCAAGAATGAGGCCACCCCCCAGTGGCTTTTCCACCCTCAGGACCTTCTCTGGCTTGATCACTCATGATGCACCACTCCTTCTTGGCCAATTTGTATCTTCGTCCTGGCCCAGTGAGTGGTCACTTAAGTTATGGTGAAAAACACAAAGTCTGAAAGCAGATGCCCCGTTCCAACATCTGCCATATGACTGGCAAGCCCTATGGCCCTATGCCTCTGCCTCTTTTTCCTCATCTATACTATGGAGATGCATGAATTCATTCAGGTTTTGTTTTGCACCTACTATGTACCAGGCACTAATCTGACACATAGAACAATGCCAAGAATACAGCAATGAACAAAACAGGTAAAGATTCCAGGTCTTGCCAGAATATGCACTAGATGGGCCTGGAACATCTTGTTGTGAGATATTGTTGGATCTCAAGAGCCCACGTGAATCTCCCCTGCCCCAGCCAAAGAAGAGAATCAAAAGATTATTAATAGTAAATTAATTAACCCATCACAGTTTTAAAATTCCATGTATGCTTTTATATATTTTATGTTATAAATTTCACCAAATTTGTAAAATTCCATGATATATTTTTAATAGTCACATTTTAAGTATGCTAGATGCATTATTCTGAAAACCCGTCTTTCATGAATGAACTGTATCTCAAAGTAACTTACTAACTCATGCAAGGATGCTTCACTTGATAGGAATGTTTCACATAATAAATGAGAAAGAAATGATACACTGTCACCATCTTGCAACCCTGGGATGAGCCAAGAGATCTGGGTTATGAGCATCAATGGCTGCTCACATCACAGAATGAGGTAGAACCAGATGCCAGAAGATTCCCAACACAGTACCACCTGTGTCATGCTCCTGGAAAACAATAAGAACCAAACCAAACCCAAAGAAGGCTTAAGATCCAACTACTAGTTTTTAGGAAATACAGAGATGTGCTCAATGACATCAAGGAGATGCACCCAGGGAGAAGCAGGACAAACCACCCAATGACTTCAATATTAAGTTACAAAAAGGAAGGGGAAACCTAGGAATACAAAAAAGAAAGCAATCAAATGCAGCCTATGAATCTGTGAATCTCACATGTTCTGATACAAACAGAACATTTTTTAAAAATTCATTTATGTGTTTAAAAGATCACTTATTGAAAAAATAAAAATCATTTGTGCATCTCATGAATACAGAGTTTCAAATTGGAATGGAAAAAGAAAACGTTCTAGAGCTAGATAGTTGTGATGGGGGCACAACAATGTAAATTATACAGGGGCAATAATGCTCCTGGTCTGCACGCAGAAACATGGGCAAAATGAGAAATTTCATGTTACCTATGTTTTACCAGAATAAAAATGTGTTTATGAAACTATAAGAGAAATATGAATACTGATTACATATTGGATGATTTTAATGAATTACTGTGGTTGTATTTAAAGTATCCATATCTTTTACAGATACATATCAAGGTATTAACAGATTAAATGATAAGATAACTGTAATTTGCCACAAACTAATTCACAGTGGTGGTATCAAAAATACAAGATTAGCAAGGAATTTATTATTATAGTATGATGGTGGACGCAAGGTATTTATTATATGTTTGAAGTGCTCCATGAGACAGGTTTTTTTTTTTTTAAATGTGACCTCATGAAGTTTTTGTTTGATTGTGAGAAAATTAAAAAGGAAGTAAAATATATTTTGTCAGATGGAGAAAAACCGTTGTGGAGAAAAAAAAATTTTTTAGTCAGGAATACATGAGTTACCAGGTGAAAATAAAAATTTGGAAATATTCAGCATGTATAGATAGTTCCGACCACTGGAACTGGTTAAGTTCTTCTAGGGAATGAGTGTAGATGTAAAATAATACTGTGAATTCTGGGACTCTCTAAGATTGACAGGTGGGAGAGGGATAAGGAGAATCTAGAAAATCATTCTGAGAAGGAAAGGCCCGTGAGAAAGGAGGAAACCCATAGATGTCTGATGTCCCTGAATGCCAGACAAATATGGTACAAGCAGGAAAGGACCGCCGGGGACAAATGATGCTAAAAGCCTAGTAAACTTAGGATTGAAGCTGGACCTCCAATGGACCAACTCACTGAGTCCAATCTTGGCCAACATGGAAGTCACTGCAAATCTTGGCAGGAGTGTGTTCTGTGGAGTAGCATGGACAAGCGCCTCTATAGGGTCATCCAGGGGAGAACTGGAAGCATCAAGAACAGACAACCATCTTGAGGAGTTTTGCTGTACAGGGGACAGAAAGAAGGGTGGTAGCTGAAGGAATATATAAAGTCAAGAGAGGAATTTTTCTTAAGATGGGGAAAATCAAAGAATATCAGTAGGCTGTTGGGAATGTGATGATGAAGGGAAAGAATGGCCTGAGCAACACCCTAGACTGGGCAGGAGCAGGTGGGTCTGCTACACAAGTGCAGGACTGGCTGTCACCCACGGTCAGAGAAGAGCAGGCAAACTGTGTCGAGTTGAGGGACTCTCACTCAAGGTGGTAGAAGGGTGGGCAGCTGCAAAAGTTCCATTCTGGTTTCTTCTGTTTCTCAGTGGAGTTGCCAGGTGAGAGCAAGAATAAGGAAGGAGGTAGAGCAGCCTGAGGAGGGAGCAGGTGTGACAGGGTCATCTGCAGTGAGTGGAGCAGAGGAGCAACTAGACCTGGAAAATAGGTATATTGTCAGAGCAATACCTCCACCTCCCCTATAAACTGCTGCAAGGATTCCATCAGATAATACATAATGCCCTTGGAATAGTGCCTGATGTAATAAACACACAATAAATATTAGCTCATTTTTTATTACTTTTCCTAAATTCTCTTGATCTTCAAGAATTGCCACTATTCTAACATCTCAGGGTTGGCTGGAGTCCCAGGTTCTCTCCACTTTATGGTTCCCGCAATGAACCCCTGGAAAACAGTTCCTTCATCTCACAGCTCTTGGGGCCTTTGCCTGCCAAGAACATCTTGCACATGCCCTGAGAAGAGCCTCCCTGGACGCCAGCCTTTGCTGGCAGCAGACATGGCAACAGAACACTGTGTCCTGCTGAAAGGAGAGACCATTTGGATCAGGTGATTCTTGGTTGTTAGTTACAGTCTCGCCACTCAGAATTTCATCAGGACTGGGTGTGGCTCTTGGGCTCCCATTCCCAGAGGCTTTAGAATGGTGGCGCAGGTGGTACAAATACGAAATAATCACCAGCTGCAGGGTGTGCATGCTCGGGGATTCTGGGCAGGGGTCCTCTGTGGTGAGCTACCCATCATGAAGGTGGGTTAACTTATGAAGATGAAAATGAGTCACCCATATGGCAAGGAACAGGTGTGGCTAGGGAGATGTCAGGGATTGCTGGTGCAAAAATACTGAATCAGAGCCCAAAAGCTTGGGATGTGATCCTGGTTCTGCCAAGATGCATCAATTATGTTGAACTATGTGGATTCCTTTTGTGTAAATAAGAATGAAGATGAAAATGATGATGATGATGATGATGATGATGATGATGGGCACGCTGATGACTTGACTCTGATTCTAATGAAACACAGTCCCTGTAATTCCTGAGTCTAACCTCCAAAAGGAAGAAATATTGGAAGAGGCGAGATTCCTGTGACATCTCTCTTATGTTTGCACTCCAAAGCCACTCTCCGCTCCCATCCACTTTGCTTTGTGCCCCAGGATGTGGGTCTGGGTCTGGACTTCTTCAAGGGAGTTCCTTGCCACCTGATTTTAATTTGGGTCAAGCCAATGCAAAACCCCAGCTGGAGATCAAAGGCTCAGAATAGTGTTTCTTTGCCATCCTCTACTGAAGGCCACACCTTCCACGGTTTGTCATCTTTATGGTATATTCTCTCTAGGTTCTTCTGCTCTTCATGTGACAAGTAATAGCTACCCCTTGTTAGCCCCTCAGTACTTTATCATTCCTTACAGGCTTCATGAACCCCGACATCTTTATTAAACTCTCTTCAAATGCCCAGTTTGGTTGTTTCAACTGTATCATCCCAAGATTCAGACTGAGTTCTTTTCTTGCTAGAAAAGGAAACTAGACTCTCATCTCTGAGTTGAGTGTAGGAATTAATGATAGATACTGAATAATACCTATTAAGCAGTTAAGGTGTACCAGTGCCACATAGGTTATTAAAAGTAAAAAGCATCACTTTACTGCAAAGGATTAAATATCTCCCTTGATAGTCAAGGCATATGTATATCAAAAGCCAAATGAAGTATGAGGACAATGTAGGTCATGCCAACAAAGTAATATATAGACAAGAAGCATCATGAAAGCTCAGAGAAAGGAGACAAAAGGCTGTCAAGACATGGGGTGTGGGAAGAACCTGGTCTTTAGCAACACAGACCTCAGTTCAAACCTCTACCCCTTCCCTAGCAGGGTGATTATGGTCTTCCAGAGCCACTCTGGGCATCTTGATTGCATTGATGGAAGGTAAATGTCTGCACATGCTCAGTGAAGCAAGGATCTTTCCTTCCCACTAGATGGTTTTCAATGGCTGAGCCCTGGACCACTTGCCAAGTCAATGTCCTTATGAACTGCTCTCCCCACTGCACCAGGAGGTGTAATGGAAACCAGTAATGTACTGGGTTATAAGCTTTCCTATTAGAACACACACTTTCTCAGAATCTCCAGTTTATTCACCTAGCCCCCCAACCAAAAAAATACTTCAAGCCCCATGAGGGCATAGACTTTTTCACCTTGTTCAATCAAAAACTTCTTATCCATTATAGTGGGCTTCTAACCATTCTCCCTGATTCTTTTCTTGCCTTCCTCTCATCAGCCATCAATCTCTCCCGTGCCCAGCCAAAAACAATTCTTCACACAGTGGCTTCCAAAACTGTGACTCTAACCCTGCTGCTCTGCTACTTAAGATCATACAAGGGCTCCCACTGCAACTAGAATAAAGTCCAAATCTAGAATAATGGCCATCCCTCACTATACTCCAACCACCAACCTTTCTGTACCTCCAACGTACCAAGCTAAGACCCACCCCTGGGATCTCGCAATTCTTCCCTCTTCCTGGAAGTACCTGGCTGACCCTGTGCTCTTGTGTCCTCAGAGAGGCTTTCCCTGAATTTTCACTATCACATCTCCTCTGACATTTACTACGTGACAAGTGGCTCCCCATGAAATGACCTTGTTTACTCATCACTGTCACTTGAACAATATTAGCACCAGGAGAGTTGGGCCCTGTCTGTACCATTCATCACTAGATCCCCAGGGCACAGAGCACTACTTGGGCACATAATATGGTCCCATTAAGTATTTATTGGCTGAAGGGATAGGAATCAGGTGAGCTCAAAGATGGTTTGGAGAAATAAACTGGGAACATGAAGTTTTAAGCAAAGGTCCAGGGAAAAGAAGCAAAGTTGATGCTTCATGTCACTTAGCTGACAGGGTCTGGCAGGCTGGAAACAGCTGAGTCTACAGCTAAGATAAGGGTTGGAAGTCAGACTCAGAAGCCCCTGGAATCACAGTAGAGAATACCTGGCTGGCTGCTCTCTGGAATTTAGACCTCCCACAGGGGAAGAGGAGGGCAGAATAAATATGGTTCTACAAACAGTTTGCTCTAAGAAAGAGTAAGCACAATAGTCCAATCAAGAAAAAAAAATCCATGCATCCAAAGGCTGAAAGTTTTCTCTGATATACTGATGCTAATTCACAATGGGGGATGGGGCTCTAGGGAAGAATAGAGTTATTTTAGATTAGGTAGAGAGAAGTGAAGGGAGGGGAGAGGGAGAGGGTAGGAAGGTCAGTAGAATGAACCAGACATTATTACCCTATCTACATATATAACTATACGACCCTTGGGATTCCACATCATGTACAACCAGAAGAATGAGAAATTATACTCCATCTATGTATGATGTGTCAAAGTGCATTCTACTGTTATGTATAACTAATTAGAAGAAATAAAGAATTTAAAATATAAAAAAGCCCATGCAAAGATGGACATTCACAGCATCCAAACCACACCCATAACTGATGAGTTCACTGGCCTACTGCAGATGGAAGTGTAGAGAAGACAGCCATGCACAGGTGTGCACTCTCCAGGGGAACTGCACCTGTCATGTGCATCCAGGCACTTCTCTTTAGTCATGATCAACAAGAAGAAAAAGAAAAAGAGAGGGAGAGAGGGAAGAAGGAGAGGAAAGCTGGGGTAGGTGGAACACCAACTTCATGGCCAAAGGATGGACAGAGAGAGCAGCAAGGGGATGGGGGTGGGGAAGTGCTGGCCTCTAAGGAGTCAAGACAGGACCCAGCGGCCCCAGGAGCTGCCTTACTGTCTTAGATTCCCTCCCCAATTCTCTCCCTCCTCTTTTCCTTTATCTCCTTCCATGGGTCTTATTCTCACATTCTCCTCAACCCCTCTCCATTTCCTTTCCTTCCATCTTTTCTCTCACTGCCAACCATTACCCCCTCCCCGTCTTTGTCCCATCTTTGGGCTGTTGTGGAATATGGACAACAGGTGTAGACCTATAGGGGTTTGCCTTTGGCTCTGCCAGTTAGCAGCTGAGCAATGTATGTGAGTTATGTGGCTTTCAGGTTCCAGTTTGCGGGTCCGTAGAAGGAGAAACCAACACCTCATAGCATTCTTCCGATGAGTCTAAAGGCCATGTCTGCTTCAGATGCAAAGCTCTGAATTTGTTGTCTTATTTAGAGTTTTCTACTCTGTGGCACTATGTGTATTCATTTTCTAAGACTACCATGACAAATTACCACAAACTGGGTGACTTGAAACAAGAGAAACGTGTTCTCTCACAATTTTGGAAGCTAGAAATGGAAAATCAGAGAACTGACAGGGTTAGTTTCCTCTGGAGTCAGAGAACGTTTGTTCTGGGCCTCTCTTCTGGCTTCTGCTGGTGGCTGGCAGTTCTTGGTGTTCTTTGGCTTGTAGCCACATGACTCCAATCTCTGTCTCTGTCATCACATGGCCTCCTTTCCTCTGTGTTTCTGTGTCCAAATTTTTATAAGGACACCAGTCGTTGGATTCCTTAATTCTACATGACCTCATCCTAACTTCATTACATCTGCAAAAGACCTAATTTTCAAACAGGGTTGCATTTATATGTACTGGAGGTTAGGACATGAACGTTTCATTTTGTGAAGGACAAAATTTAACCCACAACCCTGTCATTACATTTTGTACCCACTCAACAAAAGATACGGGAAGTACAAATAGATTAAGCAGAAGGAAACACCATAATAAGAGAAAATGCTATATTGGGAAGGAGATCTGACCCTTAAACCCTCAGCAGCCACACAGGTAGAAGCAAGAAACTGGGCTTCAGGAGTAAGATGGAAGGAGGTTGAACCTCAGCTCCATCATTTACTTATGTGAGCCTTAAACTTTCCAAGGAATCACAAACCCCTCCCAGAAAAATGCTCACACACATCACATGAGCTTATTATCATGGATCTCAAACACCTGAGACTCACAAGAAGAAACCCTAACCTCATGCTTTATGGCACAAACCACATTACTTAGCCTCCTTGAGCCTCAGTTTCTGCCCTGACATGACAGGAAGGTGGCACTTACCTTCAGGCTGTTGAGAAGGTCTGTAGGAACCAGAGCACTGAACTCCCTTGTGCTTCTGCACGGGCTTGGCTTCCAGAGGCCTCAGTGATGCTCACAGAATTCTCTTATTCCTTCCTTTGCCCTCCACCCTGCTGGTCCTGCTCCCTTGACAGGGATTCCCATTTTCCTCTCCCTCTCTTGATAGGCTGGAGACCTTTCAACCTATTGAGCTTGAGTAGGATCAGGGGCAGAGAAGCAGATCAGGGTGGTGAGGGAATGAGTGCCTATGCTCTGTTATCACTATTGGAAAAGTCTCTCGGTAAGAAGTTCCAGGCTATCAATCAGACCAGGGACCAGGTTCTAGAAAAAATAAATATCAGAACTTAAACTATGTTCCTGGACACTATGTCAGGATGGCTTTAGCCAAATTAAACCCAGACTTAACTAGATTAAACAGTAAGAATGAGTTTTTTCGGGATTAGTTAGTTCAATGATTCATGACATCCTCCAGGACTTACTATGAGAGGTGAGGCTATTGGAAGAGTGGGTGGGAAACATTTACTAGAGCTGTTTTGTAGGAGGAAGAAAAGTGATGTGATCAATTGTGAACAGTTTGGGTTTGAGAAGATGGTGGTACAGCCAGGAGATGGCATCAGACAGGCAGGACTGGTGTTAGCTTTGTCCTCTTTTATCTCTCTCTCTCTCGTGGTCACAAAATGCCACCATTCCAGACCTCACAGCAAGCACGACAATTTCCAGGTAAATAAGAAGCGTTGTTGGTCTTCCACAGGTCTTATTTTAAAACTGAGGACATCTTCTCAGAAATCCTTCCAGACACTTCCTTTTATGTCTCACTGGCCGGAAGGGGCTCATGTTGCCCCCTAGAGTGGGATGTGGGGAGAACATGGCCATCTTGGGGTTGGACTCATCAAGAATTGCTCTTCAAGAGATGCCTCTTGGGGAGTCCGATAGCAGCGCCTGCCCCAGAGCCAATCAGGAGTCTTTGTTGTGAGGAACCAGGAAA